TCTTTTATCCTAATATAGAAAAATTTTGTTGCATCGAGTAATCTACCATTCATTCACTCTCTCCCCATTAGAAAGAAATTTGTGAGAGCATAAATCAGGTAGTATTTAAAAATTTTTGTAATTCACTGAAGCAAGTTAGATTTTATGATAATTTGATATTACATTCCTTTTGTTCACATAAGTGAGAAGCTACATTTTTTTGTTTCAGGTGCTATTCGGGCGTTAACATTAGAACTAAAAGGCTTGCAAACATCACCTGTTGAAGGTTTTACGGTGACAGCCAATGAGGACAATATGTTCGTTTGGACTGTTGCTTTGTATGGGCCACCCGGAACGCTGTATCAGGTATATAATTTTAAAGCTATTCGTTAACAAGGAAAGCAAACCGGAGTTAGAGATCGATGAATATTAGAAGTTTCTAATGATTAAGATCCAACAAATCCAATTGAATTGAATAATGAACAAAGTGTAGACTAAGTTTAAATTTTCTAATTCTTAAAAAAATTGTTTCTGACGCTAAAAGTGGATATGTACGTCATTCTGTGATTCAGCTGCATGAATTTTGTCATTTGTTCACCCTGAATGTAATTAACGGTCAAACATTATTTTTTAATCACAATTCTTCTCCGTATACTTGTTTTTTAGTAAATAAAGCTTTATTGGAATCAGTAATTCTTACTAGGAATATCAGTTTATGTCATCCATCTGACCTCTAACCAGCTTTATAATTTGTATTCGTGAAATATTACTAATCTTCGCTAACAAAAAATGGGAATATACTTGCTTAGGGTACGTTGTGCTTGGTATATTATGCTTGTAAGAAGCGTTAAAAATAATTGTTGACAGAATAGTGGAATAATAATTTTCCATCATTTTGATCCCAAAAATTGTTATGTTCGACTTTCTGATCGTAGAAATACATCTTTTGTGCAACTGCGATAAAGTTTGTGTGCTTTGCTCTTTACTAATCATTTGATCGAATTCTATCATTGATTGACTAACCCTACTTCGTTTCAGGGTGGCTACTTCAAAGCAGTCTTAAAATTCCCATCCAATTATCCGTATGCTCCTCCATCGATCAAATTTCTCAACAAAGTTTGGCATCCAAATGTTTATGAGGTATGTGGTGTAGGACTTATTGTTTTTAAAGTTTTTGAAGGAAATTTTGGAATTTTAGAGTAGTTTTATTTTTAGAACGGTGATCTCTGCATCAGTATTTTGCATCCACCCGTTGATGATCCTCACAGTGGTGAACTTGCTTGCGAACGTTGGAATCCTACACAAAATGTTAGGTAAATCAAACCGTTCTCTTCAACTGACTTCTACAACTTTAAACAGTTCCTTTGGTATCATTCAAATGATTTTTGCTTTTCATATAATAGTTTTTCTGTTAGTTATCTTTTCACTGTGGGTAGTATTTTTGCTGAGTTAAAATATGTAATATATTTTGGAGCATATTAAAAAACCAGATGGCCTGAATTTTTACTATGAAATCGAGTTTTGGAAGAAGTCAGAAGAAAAATTCATCATTGAAATGTTGCACAACGGACATGTCATTACCACATATTTTCGGAAAAAAGGCGAGAAACAAAAAGGAAATAAACAAATTCAGTATCACTTTTAGGACAATTTTACTTTCGGTAATATCATTGTTAAATGAGCCGAATACTTCTTCGCCGGCAAATGTGGATGCATCAGTTATGTATAGAAAATGGAAAGAATCGGGTGGCAAGAATGATGAATATGCACGTCTCGTAAGGTAAGTTTATGAACTTTACTAGAATGCTAGAGTTTTTCCAGAGCATATCCATCTTTTTATACAACTTTGGTGATTTCTTCTGTGAAATAAACTTGTGGTAGATATCGAATCTTACAATAAATGTATTGTGACTACAAGTAAGTATATCGAATGGAAGGGGAGCGAAGAAATGTGAAACAGTTACGTTCATGAGATGTAAACTTTTTTGAAGTTCGAAATAAATATAGTGATAATAATCATCAAGATGTTTATGACATCTCTAAATTTTTTCCAATTAACAGAATATCGCGAAACTCTATCCCGAATCATTTTTCCATCTATCAGAAATATATCACATGATCAACTGAATTTTAAACGACAGCTATTAAATTTGAAATTATACTTTTAAGATGAACTATCTGAATGTATACAATTATTTTTTTTAAATAGCTTGACTATTTGTTTTTAGAAAACAAGTAGAAGCATCCCGTTTGGATGCCGAAAAAGATGGTGTGATTGTACCAGAAACATTAGAAGAATATTGTATTAAAACAGCGCCTAAACCAAATGATGATTGTACAGATGCCTTCGATCTCGATGAAGATTATTATGATTATGGTGATGAGAGTGGTATGTGGAACATTTAATAAGATTTTTTCTATATTATCACACTAAGTAACCATTTTTTACTAGATGCTTTATCTGTCCAATAGGTAAACTTTAATGATGCTGTATGTCAACTTTCCAAAAGAAGCAAACGAAATGGAGAAGATTAAATTATTCTGGTTAATATTTTGTTTCGCAAGAAAAAGAAAGACATTGATGTGGAGACATTGATGCTATGATTCCATTACGTTCCATAAAAAGAAAACGACAGCAGTAGAATGCTAAATTGTTTCGGTTACATAATAATTATTGATTAAATTCTCGTCCAGAATCATTCAGTTGTTCATTCAGTTGTTGCTAAATAATACATAGCAATTTCTTTTGGATATGTGCTCAGTAATTCTCAATTTTTCGTACTGATCATTTGTTCATTATGAATTTGGCGAGGAAACATTGAAAAATTTCATTCTTACTTTCAGATGATGAAGAAGAATATGAAGAAAATGCAGAGGACAGTGGACAAGGCGAGAATTGACAATAGAATTTGAATTGGGTTGAATATGAAAATGAAAATTTTCAAGAAGCAAAAATAAAGACTTCATCGTCGCTCAAAATTTGTCTTTTGCAAAGCAAAATACTATTTTTTTCTTTCACTTTTCTCTCCCACCTTTCTTCATTTGTTCGCTGATCTCTTTTTCCCATAATTGATTTGTTTTTTATTACTCAACTATCAAAAAACGGGGTGGTAATATCCGCGAAAATCCTCCATTATATATTTCTTAGAACATTTTTTTCCCTGAAAAGTATATGTTTGAAAAAAAAGGTGGGAAGAAGAACTACTGATCATTCTCACTTCTTCCATTCATGCTTGACAGATGTTTCTTTTGTTTCATGGAATTTCAAGAATTCCATTCTGTAAATTCTTTCAACGTAACAAAAAGCGTAGGGTGAATTTAAGTGGTTTGAAAATTTTTGATGGATTTAAAGTTGGAATTGGTCTTTGCTTTCAGAAAGTCGCTTGCTTGAAATATTCTATAAGCTATAAAATTTTACACGAATTTGGGGTAACTTACAGCAAATTGAAATTCCGATCCTTCATTCATTTTAAAATCGATTATTTTCCAAAAATTATTCGAAATCATTTGCTGCTTTGTGTCAATGAATTTCAATGGATATTTGGGAAGTTTCAGACTTTTCTTCCATCATCTATCTTCAGTTTCCGTTCCACTGACATGAAATTCTCTTTTTTATATGATCATGCCGGATGATTTTATCGGACAGGTTCATGTTGGAAGAATATAAATAGAAATGGTACTTTGCTAATTCATTTGGTATTTCACTAGTTAATTAATTCATCACTTATTATATCGCTTGATTTCTGACTTTTGAATCAAATTAATCGCAAATATGATTAAATAGATGGTTAGAGCCAATTCGAGCGGAAGGAAATTGTAGTCATCCTTTGCAGTAAATTATCAAGAAATGGAAGAAGAATGATTAATTTTAAATGAAATAGGGAAATTAAATTGAGAGGATATGATATGATATGATATGATATGCTGTGATGTAATAGTAATGTATGTGATGGAATAAGTACCTTACATTTTGTACGAAATTATTATATATCGTTTGTAGAAAAAGTAAGTTTGTTCAGGATTTTTTCGCCTTTTTCCTTTCTGTACTTCTATCTATCTATCGTCTTTTGAAATACTTTTAAATTTTTCTTTTTACTTCATTGATTTCATATAGAAAATAGAATGAAAGTTTCAAAATTATGTATGTGTGTGTGTGTCTGTCTGTCTGTATGTTTGTATGTGTCTATATGTACATGTACTTGTCTGTCCACGTCTATTTCAATATTTGTGTATGCGATGGATTATTGTAATTTTTGGAAGGAGAAGAAAAAGCAAATAAAGAATTGTAAAGAAAGAAATAATGAAAGTGTTTGCATTGTTTTTCCTTTTGATTATCTTTGAAATTCTTGTCATCTAATTTGATTCATTAACTCATAAATTATGAATGGGTAGATTGATTGATTCATTGATTATTATACATTTCATGTGGTATAAAAAAGTTTCCCCATAAACGACAATTTCTCATTCTATTCTTTCATCTTCAAATTTTAGCACAGAAGAATGAAATGATTAACAGCAGTTCCCATGTTGTTTACAGCAACAATACAATGATGTTTATTTTATAAAAGATTATTATTTTTGTATTATATTTATAATAGTAATTAACAAGAAAGTAAGGAATTGTTGTATTTTAGGATTGGTTGGTTGAGGTTGTTATCCTTTTGCTTTTTTCGAGAAAAAATGTTGGAATTCATGATTTGATCTTGATTTTGATATGGTAGTAATGGATAAATATCTGGCTAATTTAAGTTTCGGAAAAAGTAAAGGGGTTTTGTGATGGATTGTAAAAATTTGGGATTCTACAAACCACTCGTATCAAAAAGCTTTGATAGCTTTAAGAACCAAAATATTTACAGTACATCAAATAGCATTTCCAATTCATGGAATAATTATAATAATTATGGGTGAATGAAGATTGAAATCAGAATATGGAATCACCAATCCATTGCAGTGTCTCATTCATATGCAAACATAATTTTTCATGAAAATTTTTATGCTCAGTTTTCTTTCCTTATTTTCAGATGAGTCGGCGACAAAATCCGAGCGAATTTTTGAAGCAAATTATTGGTAAACCTGTTGTGGTGAAGCTAAATTCTGGCGTCGATTACAGAGGTATATATGACTTTATTGATATATCGTGAGTATTTGAAATTTCTTAACATTATTTATTGTATCAGTGCGCTACTTTAGAAAACGTTGCATTTATCTCTTCTCTTAAAAAAACAACTAAAACAAAGCCTATGAAATATTTGCAAAGATAACATAATCTTTCTGGGGATTCATTTGGTAGCACAACAAATTTGACACCTAACACACATCAAACTTTAACTCTCAAAAATTTAACTGTCATAGCCTTTGAATATGATTTTAGTATCAGTCCTGAAAACTATTTTATTAGTTTAAAGTCATGAGAAAAAGCATGTTCCAAAAGTTAACATCACAGTTATAATGATTGATTGAATAATATGCAAGATAGACAGAAAGATTACGTATGAGTATCATTGTAATTAGTACAAGTATCAATAAAAAAGTATTGCAATCATTTCCAGGTATTTTATCATGCTTAGATGGTTTTATGAATATAGCACTAGAGCAAACGGAGGAATACACAAATGGACAGCTGAAAAACAAATATGGCGACGCATTTATTCGAGGAAATAACGGTTTATTTTAATTTAAAATTTAAATCAGAGAATGAAAGTTCTAAGGAAGGTGTTTCACATGTAAATACCAGATCATCAAAGTTTTACATTCATCTAGTGATGATAAAAGCAAATTCCATTCTTGGGAAATTTAATTTCAGTGCTTTATATCAGTACACAAAAGCGTTAATGATACGAAAACGAAGAGTGGCCAAACTTTATACTGTTATTATGATAGTTATTTGCATAAGACATTGGTCAAGCGATAGCATTTGTGTCTCAATTCGATCTCTTATTCCTTCTCATGTTAATGGAAATTTAAGACTAAAAAATTATTTTAGGCGAGAAAAATGACATTTTTATTTTCAACAGCTTTCATTTCTGACACTTTTTTTTCAATTTAATTTAGTTATGTGTCGTTCATCTTTTTATAGTTAAACAAATTGAAATGTTCGATTTAAAAAAAATCTCGAAATCTCCCTGAATAAAGTGATGCCGATTGCATGTTCTACAAACAGGTGTTTCACAACTTTGTAAATTCATAAAAAGCTTAAGAATATTTCTTGAAAATTTTGCAAAACACCAAAACATGAAATAACTTAGAATACCATATTTGTATAAGGTAATAAAACGACACCCAAACATCATACGGTATTCAAAACAGAAAGTTAGAACGATATGATTAAGATAGTTCCTTCTAAACTTTAAACAATTTTCTATATCATTCATGCTTCTTTGTGAAGAAAAAAGTCCCAAATTTTGGCATAAATAGCGTGCTGCTGCATGACATAAATCTTCTCAATAACACAATGCTGATACTTGGTTATGGTAAGTTAGTGTTATCATTACACCGAAATTTAATCGGGAGAAACAGATCAGCCAGCGAAGAAAAACAGAAGAAAAAAACCACTAGAATTTCTCTCCAACTTTTTTTTATGATATGAAATCTCTTTGGCAAAATTTTATTCAATACAACAGCGATGACAACTTCTAAAAATTCGTTGGTTCTTCGATGATCACATACGGCGTTTTCTTCATTTTTAACTCTACATACTTCCTTGTTTCAGCAACAATAAAAACTGTCGATGTAAGCAGTGTGAGAAAGACCAAATCTGCAACAACAATTATTACATAATGACAGGAATTTTATAGCACAATGAGATGAATGAATTCTCTGTATATATATATCTTCATGGAATATTATATCACTAAATTTCTAAATGAAACCTTTTGTTTGTATTGCAACAAAAATTAGTTGATAGAGAAGAATAATCTTTTTCCTTGCAAAAAATATAACTTTTAAAGGTATTTTGCAAAACTCCATATTAATTTTGAAACCTCCAAATTTAAAAACGCAACAATGATAGGAGCAATCAGCTATTCCAAATATGAAGGGTATAATAAAAAGAAACTACTGGACAAGATTTCAATAAATTAAAAGATTGAAAAGAAAACAAGCCTAAAAAACCAAATGGAAACTTTCAAAAATTTAATTAACTGAGTTCATGCCGATGGATGGTTACTTACTGCTTACATTTGAAATTGAAATATTTTGGATACTTGGAGTAATCTTTTACTCAGCTGTAGCATAATTTTTTTTCAGCAATAGCATAATAAGCGTAAGAATATGCATATGACCATAAATTATCATCTGACTGATAAATTTTAAAAAAGGAAGAAAAATTTACCATATAAACTTAATGCTTCAGTTTGGAAAATTTTTTGCAATGGAGGGAAATATATTACCGCTAACTGGCAAAAAATAGATCCAAAAACAGCGAAACAAAACATGCGATTCCTAAAAAAGAAGAAGAATACATTGCGGATATTACAATTTCCTTCCATAATTCTTACGTCCGTTGATTACAGTTTGAGTTACGCAAGGATAAAAGTGAATCTTTCTAGAAAATTCAAATCTAAGAAAATCTAGAATTTGAATATATCCTTTTTTATTCTTTTAATATACAGAAATTACCAATACAACCTCACCTCAATAAACCAATTTCCCAAATTAATTTCCTACTTGAGCGGCAAGCGAGCGCATTCCACATATCAAATAAAACGAAACATGTAAATGTCATCGTTGTATCACGCGGTGTCACTTCATTATCTGCTGACATCTAAAAATCATACCGCATGTTTCAAAGCCAACTTTTTGTAAATTTATTATGATTCTAAAGAAATAAATAAGCAAATAAATCAAATTTACCCTGAAAGCATAGATTAATATTATTAGCGATAAATTCTAAGGCGGAAATGTCAAGATACAAAACACCATTCACCATCAACCAGACCACACTATCCAATATTCAACTATATTGCTTTATTGAAATTGAACAGAAATACTAATATTTAATAATAAGAAACAATTAATAATAAAACCTTAATTCGTTTGATGGGAACGGTTCAACTAAAAGTAATAGAAGATAAAAGGAGGGAAAAAAAGAAAAATCAGTTTCAGAAATTTCAGAGAAAAAAGGTTCAGGTAAACTATTTACTTCTTTATAAAAAACAGAGAGTGTTCCGGCGATAATAATTGATGCAGATAAAAAAATATTAATTATGAATGCACTATCTATCATCGGTTGCCTTACATCTCGCGGTGGTTGTCGAATTATATCCTAAAATTTAAAAAATAAAGGAAAAGAAATATAAGTTGCAGGGATATCATCGATAATCAGTAATACATCTATTTAGTTAATCCATTCTTTCTTTTTATAAAAAAATTTCACTAGACCTTTTACTTTATCTTTCTTTCTTCATTCCTATAATGTTATACTTGGTTTGGGAAGATGAATATAGCATAAAGTCTTTTCCGGAGCCATTGCTATTACAGACTTGTTAATTAACTGGATATAAAAGAAAATCCATCCAAATTGCAAAAAAAATGAAAGCGTAGCAAAAATTAACCTAAAAAATATCAGTATTCTAAGAGTAAGTGTCTAAAAGTTCAGCATGTTAAAGAGACATCGAATCAAATGAATTTGGGGAATTGAAACAATGGAATAGATTAATGTGCAATTCTTCAGTTAAAATTACCCTATCAACAGGTTCAACACCAAGACTTTGCGCTGGTGGTCCATCCATAATAATATTAATCCAAAGTATCTGCATTGCATTCAACGGATTTTCAAATTCAAATAATGTTGAAATTGCAATCAGTGATAACGCTGCTACACTTCTGAAACTATCAGCACAGATTAACAACTAATAAGGAGAAAAAAAATTAAAAAAAAGATATTTTCAGAAAAGGAAATGAATTTTTGTTTTAGTAAAAAATTAGAAATTTATTGAAATCAAAAAATTATAGAAAACTAACGTGCTTAATTGGAATCGTACGAAATTAGTGATATTATGATAAATGCCTTTGCCTTCTTCGATGGCTGCCTGAATCGTGTAAAAATCATCATCTGTAAGTATCATATCGGCTGCTTCCTGAAAAAGGCATACTACTGTATTTTCGGATTCCAATATAATAGTTAAGTTTTCTGTTCCAGAAGATCTCTCTCTCTCTCTCTCTTTTGTAGTATTTTGATGAATCCTCATGAAAAGCAGTTAACTAAACGTAGTCTCCTTGGATATTATTATTTCAATTAATCGAGTTATTGTATTTAAGCGAAGCCAAATTCGATTATTTCAGTTATTTAGATTTAAAAATGAAAGTAATTAGTTAAACTTTAAAATTCATTAAAACCCAAAGTTTCTACCATTTCAACCACTTAAATGACTAGAATGATCAAAAATTCTTTAAAAGATCACCTTGCATACATCGGTACCAGTAGAACCCATTGCAATACCAATGTCGGCTTTCTTCAGTGCAACAACATCATTAACACCATCACCCGTCATTGCCACTATATCGCCCAAATTTTGCATTGCCTTAAAAATTAGACCAAATTTAAAATTCGATTAGCAAGCTGCAAATTGCCTTACGATAGAGAGTAGTGAAATTTAGGATAGCGCTTTAAATTGAGTCACTATTAAGTACATCATGGAATCCGTTTTAAGAAGTCGAGAAATAAATATTCGCCATAAAAAGCGAAATAGGTTGATGCCAAGGCAAGAAGATCCAGCAACCTCAATTTTCAAATTTAAATTTGCAATAAAAACAGATTTCTTGAAATAAGTCAATAATTTATGTAAAAGACGAACAAGAAACAAACAACCTTAACAATTCGCAATTTATGCTTCGGAGAAGAGCGATAAAATATTGTTACTGATTTGATTACTCGTTCAAGATCCAGATCCGTCATCCGATCTATTTCATAACCAGATAAACATACGTCGCCGTCTGTGAATAGTTTCAAATAAGCACCTGTAACTTAAGACCTTATGCAATTGCGCAAAAAAGGCAGAAATGTTAACCGAGAAAAAAAAATTTCTGGAAACCTCTGGGAAAAGTTTCTTCTGCTACAATATCCAGAAGCCAAAACTTGATAATTAGTAAAAAGTGGCCCAAATTTTCCACAAATTTAATTTAGAAACAAAATATTTCGAAAATTCCTAATCATACCAATGCTACAGGCTGTTTCTAGAGCATCACCAGTAACCATTTTGACTTTAACACCAGCTGACTGGACAATTTCAATGCTTTCTGCAACACCCGGCCTTGGTGGATCCATAATACCTACCATTCCTGCATAGCACAATTCTCGTTCATTGTAACCATAAGCCAGAGCTATTACTGCAACGAAAAAAATAGAAATAAGAAAAAAGAACTGAAATGTCAATATCAATATTTATTTCATACTCAGTTAAATAAATCAAAGTAATGAAAATTAAAATGTGAATCAAACGAAGAAAGTAATAAAAAGTGATGAAACAAACTAAGAATTTGAAGTACAATGATTTCAACGACTTTGTATTTCATATATCTCTGCCTCCTCCGCACAGAGATAATCACATATTGGGAAATTAAATGAAGCATAAATTAACTTTCATAAATTACCTCGTAAACCGCGTGAACCTAAAGATCGACTCGTTTCCATAAAACGTTCCTTTGCAATATCAGTTAGTCTTAGTGGAGTTTTAT